TATGAGGTGGGGGATAGATATTAGTAGGCTGATAACATTGAATAAGGAGTTTGGATGAATATAATGGTAAATCAGGCTGGTGGAATGACTCTGTATTTATAGGTGCAAGGAATACATGGTAGTTGATTTGTTTTAAAGGTAAAACCTTTAAATGCACAGTTACTATACCATCTTGAATAACTTCAACCTGTCCACAAACTGTACCAAATACTGTGAGTGTAGGAGGTATAAGCAAGGCTGAAAAGTGCAGCTCAACAATTTCACCAAACCAAACTCTTTGTCCATCTCCATGTATATAAAGTGGAGACTGTAAGCTAGGAATTGTACACCACTTTGTCCCTGTCCATGGTTCATTGTACAGTCGTGACATATCCTGATTTGGTCCAGTGAGGGAAATATTCGGTTCTGAATTTGTGAAGATTTTATTACCTCCCATTTGTGATGACTCAGATAAATGCTCTAATACAACCTGACCAATTTGTTGAATTTGTGATGCTGATTCTCGCCATGCCATCTCCATCCTTACAAGATCGCAAATGCTGATATGGTAGTATGGATGGGGAGTGTCTGTTTTGGAATCAGAACGGAGGACCTCTGGCGATGGTATTTTAGACTTATATCGTTTGATAGTAGACAGAGATGGAAGAGGCTGATCAGTCAATTCTCCAAGAATAAACCATATAAGATTAAGCTGTGAGTCACTAAAAACTGGATCCTGACTCACAACCAAGGAGTATAGTAGTGCAGATACCTTAGAAGGAAAAGGATGCCAGGGACTATTGTGAGCTTGTGAATGATGAGTATTGGTATGTTGTGGTAAGAATTGAAACTATGTGCTTCCAGACTCCCAGGAATTATTCTTGTTTCTAAGAGTTTCACCATCAATATCATATCCTGCTAATTGTTGCTCATTACTAACACTATTTTTAAGGTCATCCGAATTCATTGAGTAGGTATCATCATTCCAGTGGTCATTGATATATTCAATGTTATCAGGAAGTAACCCTGAGGCTAGTCGGTTGATCAAGTTTTCTGAATCAGATTCATCAAAGAATAGGGGTGCTTTTTCGGGGATACTTCTGACCTTAGACCAAGGTTGATACTCACCATATTGAGTTTGTACACTTGGATCTAACTCCAGAACCAGAATCATCTCCTGAGAGGTTTGGAATTGTGAATGATTAGGTATAAGTGGGGATTCGGGTGCTGTAATCCAAGGTTCTCTATCAGGCTTGATGTTCCTGAATTCTGCATCTTCTTTTCTTTGTACTTGAACTTAAGTACTACTCTCTGAATTCCCAAGCATTGTCTCCCATGGAGGAGAATTGTGTCTTGATGGTATTACTCTGTATTTCAAGACTAAAGCATGGTAGGATAAACGTCGACAGCCATTTTTGTCTGAGCTTAGATATGCTTCAACCTTTGTATTAAGGTCATAAATTCGGTAGAGAGTTATCAATTGATCAATTTTGAAGTTATGTCCTAGAAGATGTGCTGATTCGTTACTTTGAAAATGCTTTTCGGTAATGCAATGTTTCACAAAGCTATCAATCCTGAGATATGGTATATTGTCGGCACATACAGGGCAGATAAGGGAAAAGTCCATTACTTTGGAAGTTGTTCTCCTAGGACTGTTATTAGTGAAATTAATACAGATTTCCTGTTATATCTTGTAATATAGTTTGAAAGTGAAAGAGAAAGACATATTTACCTTATAAGAAAGGCTTATGACTAAGGTCAAAATCTTTGTATATCAAAAATACCACAAGTTTGTGAAAGTTGAGTATTCCTTAGCACTCATTAATCCAGAGGAGGCAAGATAGTGAGTATTGGCTTTGGTGCAGAAAGTATTTATACAAAGGATTGTAATTCACTATAAATAATTGGAAAGAGACTCAAAAAATATCTTAATTTTCAAGGAATCAATAGAATATAATCCCATTCCAAATAGTGAAGGAAATCCTTCATAATGCTTGCTTTCAAGCTCAAAGAATACTCTAACACATAACCACCCCCATCACAACCACTCCCCACACAACTACTCTCCACACAACAACTCCCCAACCAACCATACAACCACCCTCTCCACAACCACCCTTCCCACAACCACTTCCCCCACAACAACCCCCCTTACAACCACTCCCTATACAACCACTTCCCCCACAACTACACCCCAACTAACTATTATACACCCCACCACTCTCTACCCAACTACTCCCTCCAGAACTACTCCATACTCAATCACTCCATCTGCAACTACTCACAACCCAACTACTCCTCTGCCAACTACACCTCAGCCAACTACTCTGCACTCAACTACTCTGCTCTGACTCTCAACTACTTTGCAACTAACTTGTCTGCTCCCATCCTCTCTTTCCTCTTACCAGTTTTTCCCACATCCCCCTCCTATTTCCTGCTTGTTGATACTACTATTATAATCTCCTATTAACTGTACCCAATACTTACCTTACTGTAAGAGACATTATACTTCTTATATCTTTTTCACATCACTTTTATAGTACTAATTGTGTTTCTTAGTTCTACAAATCCTAGACCTTACTAGTTTTGCAACCTAAAAGGTATTGTGCTACTGTGTTAGAATGCCAGTATTACCAATACCACATATCACAAATCCTATGATTAGTTCTACTCAAGCTCCAGGTACCCGTAATCTAAGGACTCCTGTTGCTGGTACCCAGGTTCCCACATCCTACCGCCGTACCCCATATAGCCATGTTACATCTGGTAAGTATTTCCTTATTACATTGATTTTCAATTCTGCTCACTTAAAGAAATATAAACTCATCAATTCACTTTCAAATAGTTTCTCCCCAGTCCTCAGTTCCCCTTCGTACTGCTTTCCAAACCACAGAACTGGTATCACATCTGGAATCTCTGCAATCTAGTCCGGTTAGTTCTAAGAATCCTCAAATATGTTTCCCTTTTTACTGTATTTTACCTATATTCTATGTTCTATTTTTATCTGCAGTACTACTGAATCTTATTAACTATAAAATTGTTACAGCCTTTGGAAGGTCACCAACCCCTAATATTATCTGACTCTTCTCATGACTTTGGACAAAGATCTTACTCTCAGAAATTCCCCACCACTTATGCTTCTGCCTCAGGCTCATGTTCGGTACCACCAGTAACTACCTGTGGCCAGGAAGATATATGAACTGATATACAACAACTTTATCCCTCACAACTAGAGAAGCTAGAGGTTACTGTACAGCTTATTGCTCGTACCCTAGTTCCTTCAGTGAGTATTCAGCATCAGCTACATGGTACTAATAGACTTAAGTCCCCCACATCCATGAAAGAATTTCTTGAGGTAAATTACCCTTTTACTAGTATTTTTATATTTATTGAAGTTTGTCAAAGGCTAAATATAACTTTCACCAGATTGGTACTATTTCTGGTCAACTTGCTGCATTATTTCATACTATTCAAGAGGTCAAGAGTGATGTCCAAACTTTGAATGAACAATATAAGTTGAAAGAACAAGACTTAACCAAAGAAGAAATTGTATGTAATACAAATTCTGATCCCTAATATCTAACCTTCATCTAATATTTATTAACTTTGTTTTTTTTTTCTATTTCTTTCTATAGGTGCTTCTATGGGAGTTTGTGAAGTCTGTTTTCCGGAAGGTTGATATTAATGATGGGACAATCTATGAGAAGCAGAAGCTTTATGTAAGTTCAAAGCATAAAGTCAACTGGATTGTATTACTCTCTAACTACTAATTTATAGCTTTTTCTTCATACACATGGTGCACCAGGAATATCTGTACGACTTGTTTCTGAAAAGAAGTCCTCTTTTCTTACCAACATGGCTACAATCCTCTCCGAAGAGAAGAGCAAGTTGAAGTCAAAATTGCAGAATTCCACAATTCGTAATCTTCCTGTTGAGGAGTTAGCCCGTAGTCTTTTTCTGGACAAAACTTTTAAGACAGCAACTCCTATTCAACAATCAAAGTTAAAAACCTCTGCAGCTCATTGGGTAAGTCAATTCCATAGTCCCTAATCTGACTACTTTCATAATTTTTACCTTATATTTACTAATGGTGCTATTAAAGAGGTTCATTACCCACAATATAGTTTCTCCAAGCTTCAGTGCTGTGAAGTGGTGGGCAGGAGTCAACCTTAGTCTTATAGACCTCTATGAGAATAAAACAACTGAAACAGTTGACTTGTATGTTATTTACCTTTGATCTATAATATACTTGGGAATCTATCAGGTTGAAACTAATATAGATATAAAACTAGGATGTACAAGGGGCTCCTAGAACAAGATTGTATTGACTTTACAGCAGAAACTGACTTAGAGGAATTGGATGGTAATAATTTAGGTCCATTTGCATCTGATAATGGTGAGACTAATGAGGATCTAGACTTTAATAGCTATCAAAATACTGGTGAGGAGTGCTTTTCCATTGGAGGAAGGGATGTACTTATGAATGAGGAGGAGGTTATTATGCCCTCCCATATGGAAGCCTCCTTTGAACTTTGAAGCTTATCCCACTCTACTTTTTTAATTGGTAAAGGTTCTTACTTATTATTATCTAGATCTCCTGCACTCCCCTAAGGAGTCCACTAAAATAAAAAGTTATTTTTTGATACTACTAAATTATATTGTATCTTTGTTTTCCCCTGTCAATCTTACTAACTTTATACTATCTCAATTATTTCCAATAGTCCTGTTATTTGATTTTTTATATATCTATACCAAGTCTTGCTTGTAAATTGACACAATATATAATAATCAAGTATTACATTCTGCTCTATAAACTGCAATAATCTTTTATCCCATCTGTCAGAATCTATTGTGATATATTATACCACTAAAATACAAATTCTGACTCCATTTTTAATCAAACTTACATTCAGACTCCTTTTATAATTACCCAATCAGGTTATTCCAGATGTATTTAATTTTTTTGTTATATTATATCAGTTGCTATATCATTTGAAGGTTTTTACATAAATTGTTGCTATAAGCTGTTGGGTACGATGTTTTAATCTGTTTTTAAATATTCTTACAAATGTTTGTCCATACCTTAGTCATCATTCCACCTTTCATACTTTTTGGCATTATTTTTCACTAGAAATCATGATGTCTATCATGTGATTAAAGTCTCTATCATTATTTTATCATCTGTTGTAGGTTGGTTGCCCATTTGATTACAGCTGTAGTTGACTTAGCAGTGTAACTGTGGTGGGTGTTTGCTTAACTAAATCCAGGTTGCGGGTTATGTAAATTTTCCTCTTTATCAGTACCCTATACTGATTACTTCCTTCGTACCCTACAAAGATACACCTTTCACCATTTGGCTCCCACTTAGTCCGAAGTTCCTTTAGTGTGTACTTATACCCAATCACGCCAAATGGTATGAGCTTCGTTAATTGGAGTGTTTCGCCAGTCCATGCCTCTAGTGATGTGATCCCCTTCTCAAGTGCACTCGTTGGGCTTCTATTCTTCAGATAAACTGTTGTGTGTACTGCTTCTCCCCACATCTCATCTGCTAATTCAGATTGGTGCAGCATCGCCTTCGCCCTTTCCAATTATTGTTCGATTTGCTCGTTCGCTCACTCCGTTTTGTTTTGGCGAATATAGTGCAGTCTTCTCGCGAATGATTCTGCAATCCCGGAGAAGTTTGTCAAATTCTCTACTCGTATACTCTCTACCTCCATCACTCCTAAATCTTTTGATACTCATCCCATGATAGTTTTCAACCAGAGCTTTATATTCACGGAACTTGTAGATAACTTCTGACTTCGATCTTATCGTGTATACCTTTGTGTATCATGTATAGTCATCGATAAATAGGAGGAAATACTGTGCGCCACCTAAACGAGGCTCTCCGCATTGGCCCAGCCAAGTCACTATGGATCAACTCTAATGGCTGAGTTGCTCAATGAGTTGCCGGTACTGAGTTTGGCTTTCGGGTTTGTTTCCCCATGAGGCAATCTTCACAGGATGGGTTACTTAGGGAACCTGTGATGCTAATCTCTTCATGAATTTTGGATAAAGTTTTGACGTCATCAAATCCTAGGTGCTCCAGGTGCCTATGCCAGTCCATGAGTGTTCCTGGCATTGATGTGTTTGCACTACTCGCCATGGCATCAGCTGTCAGGCTATCCGCACACGCCTGCAAAATATAAACATTATTCCGAAGTTCCGCTATAGCAATGATCTCGTCCTGATTACAGATCGTTGCTTTCGTTCCAGCAGCTCCACTGAACACAACTATCGCGCTGGCCTGCTGAATACA